CACACACACACACACACACACACACACACACACACAAACACACACGAGGTATTGTGACACACTGCGATTACAGAAGAATGGAAGAAGCTCATCGAACTTTTTGGGATCTGGTCTGAGAGGATTTTTTTTTTTTTCTAGACAGTGCCCATCAGATGGCCCGCAGAGAGGAATACATGGTAGCCGTGTCCGTATTTCTCTCCGTTTCTCCTTGCTTGGCATTCAGGCAGGTCACGCAGTTGAGCTCTTTCTCACTCACTCTCAGGGTTATTTATCCTCATCCTACAATTAGTAGTATATGCTTGGCATTATCATTCTTGGTTGTCTTTCGTGTTTTCGTCACCTCAGTTTTGCTGTATCCGCCCAATAGAACGTGATAATAAAGGCTTTCTATTTTATTTTGTGTGTGTGTGTGTTGTTTTTCTTTCGAGGACGTTAGACTTGAGCATGCGAGTCTCCGCACAGACGGCCCCGACAGGTCCCGCGAAACGGCAAACGTCTCATTAAGTCAGATATGGTGCTTCGATTGCTTCACTGACACTTGGATAACTTGAGCAATCAGAAAGAGCATGTGTCATTAAGTTACCAAACTTAATGACATAACATTAAGTTAGCAAACTTAATGACAGATTACACGGAGAGAATCATTAAAGAGTTTGAGCATATCAATGCTATCGTTACATGTTAAGACGAGTAACCGGAAATTAGCACGCCTCTGTGTACGAAACGTGGAAACGATACGTGCGGGGTTGAACTTAATATTGAAAAGCCGGGTGAAAACGACATTAATCACCGACTATTTTTAATAAACCTCCATCCATCTACTGCTTATCCTGTTGGGCGAGAGGTAAGGTACACGCTAGGCTGGTCGCGCTAATGAGCGGGAGGAAAAAAATTGCAGACAGAACGGCCCGAGCCAAGATAAATGCGGATGTTTTGGATGCGGTGACGTGCAGTGAGGGTTGGGGTTGAGGAGGCACTCATCGTTCATGTTTGTCAAGGCTTCTTGGTAAGTTTTTCAAGTCACAAAATTCCATATGGGTCCACACAGACTCACTCTTTGAGAATAAAAGGCAGGGAAAGCAGAAAAGACGTTTTTTTAAAATAGCACAGCCACAAAGCCGGTCTTTATGTGTACACCATTGCGTTTGAAAAGAGCGAGTAGTTTCACGTCTTTTCCCCGACTCCCATCGTTTGAAGCAAACCAGGTAGTTCTGGCGTCGGTCTTCCATTATTTATGATTTCCTGCTTTGTTTGAAAGCCCAGCTTTGAAAAATGTCTTCGTTTGGAAATGAAATGACAGCTTGTAGCATCGCACAGCACACATCTTGTTTACTTTTTGCACACGGGTTAGAGTTCACCGTGACCTGGCTGGTGGCAAGGCTATCGGGCTGCTCACTATCGCCGCCTTCCTTGAGGCAGCAGTACTGGCTGCCCCAAGGCAAACATTTTCCCTGTGGATTTGTGTCATAACGACTGTCCATGCCTCACCTCTCGCCTCCGTATATCGAAGCAGGAAATACAGAAAATTTTCTGTGAATTTTTTTTTTTTTTTAACTGTAAAAATGGTCAAAATGCATTAAGAACCACACCAAAATCATTGTCCAGAGTACAAATATGAATACTTTCTTTTTCCTCTCATGATGACAGGGGAGGCACAGCCTCCCCTGCCTCCCCTGACTGCACGTCACTGTTTGGATGCATTTCAACTGTTCAGGAGAACATAGCATACACAGGCCTATCACACTGCCTGCTCTTGATACTCTGGAAACGCATTCAATTACCGCTGCTGGTCATCGTCATTACTGATGATGATGAAGACTATGATGATGATGATGGTGGATTAGCTTAGGCTTACATTTCGCTGTTTGCCTCCACAAAGCCAGCGACCGGCTTTGTGAGCGCAGTCAACTGGATGTGGATTACTACAAAGCACCAGACATGATAAGGGGAGACTTTTTTTTTTTCATTGTGACCATAACACTGAAATACAGTAGTCCCTCATATATGGTGGGGGTTACACTCTAAAAGCTCACGTGATAAAGTAAAACCATCAAAGTGGTGACCATAATATCTCTTTTATGATTATATGTATTTTAAAGCTTCAATTGTTAATTAGCATTTTAAATCCAAGTGCATAATACTCATACAAATATGCATGTGAGGTGCTGGCATTATTCCCCCCCCCCCCACACACACATTCTACAGTGTAGTATTTTCAACTTTAAATGTGTGTGGTCTGGTTTGGTGAATGATGTGGGAGTCAGCAAATGAGAGTATAATTGACCTTTCAATTGCTCAGGTTAGCCAGTCTGCACATTGAGTTCTCGGGTAACTGTTGTGGCCATCGCGTGGTGTACGATGAGTTTTTTGTGTTCAATAAAGCGAGCGAGCACCTTCCTTGACCACCTGTGAAGGGATTACAATTTGTTCTCGTCAGCGGTGGCGACCTATATTTAAATTAGCTGGCAACATTTACTTTACCGTGGACATGCACTCGTGAAAGACATTTCGGCTATGCAATAGAAACATTTTACCTTCTTATTTTATGTGTGAGATTCTCCCAAACTTTCATTCTGTCTGTGACGCACTGTTTGCTCCTGGCTTACACGAATTGCTACGCAGGTCCGCAGCAACGTTAATTAATCCACGTGGAAAAATGAATACAGTCAAAATCCCATGATCCAGTGAAAAATGTATGATGCAAAATTAGATATATTTGATCTAAAAATCTGCCATAGTTTCCGCTGCAGTAACTTGAGTATAATTCGGTGCTGCTTCCATGGAGGAAAAAAAAAAGACGTGATATCAATTTTCATTTGAGACGTTTCAGAAAACATCCATGGCTTGACACTCGTCGCGTCACCCACTGCTCACAAACAGCGTGACACTAGCAGCAAAGACATTTCACGTCAGTCTCTTTTTCTTTATAAAAAGCTGCTCCATAAGCATTCTGAGAGCCCCATCAAGCCACTGACAAGAAAACAAAAAAAATAAAACAACAACAACAACAACAAAAAAGTAGCAACGCATTAAACTAAAAGCAAGAATGGCTCTAAAAACAGAAGTCTGACTTCTACTCATGCTCTACACCACCTGAGTCTCCTGCGTAAAATATGAATCTCCTTTCATCACATTAATATCCGGCAGATATGTTTTTACTCCTTCCCAAAGGTTCTCACCTAAACACGAGGTGATTTTTGAATTTAGAGTGGCTTCCACACAGCGCAGTTTTTAGTGTTATGAAAGCAACTGACACAATGTGCACAATGGGAAACGTGTCGCACGTTCATTGACTGAATGTTCACAGTGCCGAAAGACTGTTTGGATTAGTTTCACGGGAAAGGCAAAGGCCAGGGCAGAAGACAAGTTGTAAAGTTGCAAACCAGAAAGGAAAAAAAAATTGGAAGCTTTTTCAAGTCTCAATCCTTAAAAAGCAACGAGTGCTTCCTCTGTCAATTTACATTTTACAATTGCAAAGCAATTGACCACTAAAGAAGAAGAATTCACCACTTAAGTTGAGGTTTCCTTAGTTCAAGCCAAGTAGCTTGTAAATTTCCCCAGTGTGGGACAAATAAAGGATATCTTATCTTATCTTAGCTGTAATTAAAGGCAGCAGTTAATTTTATTCGCCGCCAACTAAAACATTGTTGTTTTCGTAACCGTTCTATCTGAATGCCTCTTTCAATATTCCCATTGACAGGGTTGTACAAGGCTCTCACTTGAAAGTCTTCTCGAGTCACGGAGAGAAAGAATTGAGTTTCGGAGGCGTTAATCTTGTCTTATCTATAATATATACAACTGGATTGGAAAAAAGAAATCCGAGACGGAAAGTTAAACTAATCAACTGTGGCTGCATAAGTATGCGCCCCCGTTTATAATGGGGGTGCGTGGCTGTGAGCATCATCGCGTTCAAACATTCAGCAATCATGCTCGTCACCCCCAAATGAAGTTCAACAGAACCGGGTCGGCTTTTCCTGCCATTTTTGTAGTCACGCCTCACACCACAAGCCACGGTCCACAGACAGCTTCCATCGAATCCGAGGAATCTCACTGCTCAAAGGTAGAAAAGGACTTTGACAAGCTGTTTTTCATTGTCATCAAACGCACCCAAATACTGGAGTTTGAAAAGCCCGTTTGGTTTCACGTGAATCCAAAGGGGCTTTCAAACCCCCCCCCCAAAAATACATTCATAAAATCCCAGAAAACACATCAGGATTCAGGACCAGATTGTACACCACAATCATTCATGAACGCAATTGCTGATGTGCAAGACTTGATAACTCGGCATGAAAGGGGTTCAACCTCATCGACGTCACTCGCTGCACCGCAGGCAATCAGCGACATCGACGCTGCACGCCTCCGCAGAAACTGTGTTGTGGATCTCTATTATTCACTTACCAGTACCGGGAACAGTTTTTCTTTTTTTGTTTTTTTAAAATCATTCTTGTTTTTTTCATCTCTTAGCAACATTCACATTTCATGTCCTATTCCTGATTAAGCAGCAGGTGAAAAAGAACTCTTCCGCTCCATAGGTTATTCATGGAAACTGGATAAGTAAAACAACTCAGCGGTGCAAAAAAAAAAGGAGCCAGATGAGATATAGTACATATTTGCACAGGCGCATGCATTCTTACATTTTAAGGCAGCGTCTCGAAATCATTCCAATGCAACTGCATGTGAAGGGCCATTTTTGTTGGCTGCAGAGTCGGATGAAAGCAGGAAAGTTACTTAAAACGGCTCTTCCGCAGACACTACCGAGGGCACGCTATAGGATCACCGCGTCCATTAACGAGAGGAACCTTCCCCAATGCAATTTTGAATAAATAATGAGACGGCCTCATTAAATCGAAGGCACCCGTTGCTTCATAGGATGTCCTCGCTATATGTCAATACGTCAAAACGAATATCCTGGGACTTTTTTTGACCCGGGAAGGGTTTGTTTGAACATTTCCACGCCAATGGCAAATTTGAGGAGGGAAAAAAAAGAAAACCTAAAAAAATAACAAAACATGTTTTTGCGTGTAGGTGTTTGTCAGAGAGAGATAGAGTGGGTGATGGAGAGAAGCTAAGAGAGGGATGTAATTATCGTGGGAGGGATATTGTTCACCTCTGGCCGAGCGTGGGCAAATTGCTACGCTGCTCGTCTGTGTGTGTGTGTGTGTGCGCGCGCGCGCGCACGAATCGAAATACAGTCAAACGATGTGATTCAAGAGCTCTGACGTGCATTTCATTTCTCCCTCCAACTTTTTTTTTCGCATTACCATTTCAATCTTTCAATCTCTCTCTCTCTCTCTCTCTCTCTCTCTCTCTCTCTCTCTCTCTCTCTCTCTCTCTCTCCAAAGTGCACAAATGCCTCTCGGACGACTCATCTCTGCACCTCATCCGCCCACTTGATCCACTCAGGATTGCAAATCAGACTGCCAACACAAACACGCATACACACTGGCACACAGATTAGCCAATACATTCCGCCGCTAGGATCACAATATGATGCTGTCCCGTATGTCAACTTTCTCAGATCATAGCACTTGCTGAAGTCCAACCAGGTTGTTATATGCTGCGCCAGCGAAATAGTGTAGTCCTCCCTCAACAATTTAGTTTTTTTTAAACATTCTGACTTGTCCGCCCACTTCTAGTAATGTGGACGCTGTCGTATGCAGAAACTACGAATGATACCACAAGTATATTGACTCAAGGCACATGTTTCATGGGGGGGGGGGGGATTGCACACCACCAAACACAAATTTTACATAAAGTAGTGCTCGAACCATATGGATTTTTTTTTAGGCTCGTGCCGATTCCATAGTACTCTTGTTTATTTATTTATTTTTTTTAAGAGTAAAGCACTCTGAGCCCATACTGTTCCGCCTGCGTTCTGCATTGAAGCAATTCTAAAATCCCGTGCGCTTACGCAGGACAAATCGTACCTCTGTAAGCACAATACCTGTGCCGCCAGGCCCACTGCAGTGCCTCCAAGCATTTACAAGGTCCGTCCGATTCAACTTGGTCCATCGGCACATTTACAACTTGTATTAAAGAGCCTTGGATAAAAATCATTTTATTCGCGTTGGGTGTTCTATTTCTCCAAAAAGCTCATCATTTCTAAAATACTGGGGGTGCTTCTGTTTTGTTGTTTTTGAAAGGATGCACAATGATATACAATGAAAAAAAAAATAGACAAGTCAAATCGCAGATTTGAAACAAATCTGGGGTTTGACTTTGATGACGCGATTTAATTTAATTACACGGTGAAATGAACATGAGGACTTTTTTTTTTCTCCCATTCAATTACCAATGAATGTGGCTGCCTCGGTGCAAAAGATGTTGCATTTTATGCGGAGGCAGGGCAAGCTCAAAACCATGAATGCATTCGCACGCGCACACACACACGCATTCAGTTTTCATTTAGCTGCTTCTCCCACAGCAAAAGAAGGAATGTAAATAAACAGTATTATTCATGAGTACAGTATACTCCTCCACGGAAATAGTGTATGCGTACACCCAGGCACAGATACAAAAAGGGCTGGGAATTATTCCTGCCTACTTGACGCAGGCAGGCTTTGCCATCTAAAAGGCTCGACAATCCCAACAGCCCCGACTCACCGTGAGCCGGCCAATCTCATCCCACAGCATCTACTGTACTCTGTTCTCCGAATGGGTGTCATCACGTTATTTATTTCTCAAGCCTCCGATATGCCTCCCGCTAAAAGCTCGTGTGTTCAGTGTGACTTCATTTATGCACGCATTTTCAAACTTCCGAAGCAGCATTTCTTTTACAGTCTATGGACAAAAATACGTGGACGCTTGGCCAATCATTGGTGAAAACGAAGGGCCGAATCCACCATGACTGAACAGCGATCGTTGACAGCACTTCATTTGCACCCTCAGTTTTCTCCATCCCCTAAGGTGCTTTTCGCACATCATATCGTACGAATGACATCCCGGCGCAAACACGCCCTCAAAGGTTTGACAGCTAAGTGCAGTTTTGCACCCGTTGTCCCTCTGACTGCACACATGACAAATTATAAATGCTAGCTGTGCGCCAAGAACACAGTAGCAGACTAATGGCAGTTCGGAAGAGACTCATTCGCTTAATTTAAATCGTCAATATGTTTAGAACTGCCGACTGAACCTGTTATTTTGCTTTGGCCCCTTCTGTTGTTGTTTTTGTTTTTAATTATATTTATTTCTTTCATTCCATATTTTATTACTGTTTTATTAAATGCAATATAACACACTGCACAGTGTCCTTCAGTTCCAAGAAAGGCGTCTTTGAATAAAAATGCATTAGGAAATTATTATTATTATTATGATGACTACTATTATAGAAAGATGAAATTATCAGAATGCGAGCTAGGGAATCCGACCGAGGAGGCGCAAATGGGACTGTCATCAGGCTGGCCCGGGTCGAATTGCTGTCTTTTCTTGACGCATCATTACTTGGTCAACGGAGGTTTTGGGGAGTGGGAAGGGCGTAATTTGGGGCGACATGTCTTGTCCCTGTCGGAGTGTTCCCTCGTGTTCCTCTGGCCATGCGTTCTCTCGCTCAAAATAGGTTTCCACTGAGTAGCGCTAAATTTGCACCCGCTTTTCTGAGGCATTATTTGCGTCACTCAACTGCGTGTGGCTATTTGCGCTCGGGCTCGTGAGTTAGCCGTTGTTTATCAATGAGGCTCATTTGCATAGAGGTGAGCAATTTTTCTACCAAATATATGCATATGACATCATTTAAATATGCGCAAATACCACAGGCGCACCGAGACACATATTCTGCATCTCAGTTTGGGACCATTCTGAGCATTTTTGTGGATTTGTGGATTAGGCACTGTTTGCCTGCTCCGTTTTTCCCAGTTAGCGCCACGCAAAAGCCACGCGATCCTTGAGTGAGTTTGGCCCCGTTTTCGTGCATGTTTGAGAAGGTTGAGAAGGTTGCACCTCACCTGCTCCCCTCATGAGAACCAGCACGATCAAAAAGAAATAATAGCTGAATGGAAAGCATTCACTCGAAATATTCCTGGCCTTAAAACAGGAAAGGACTTTTTCAACTTCACGCTTCAAGAAATAAGAAATAAGGATCTGTGCGTTTGAATGAATCTGAAAAGTTGAGGCGGAAATGAAAGCACGTCCTTACTTGTTCGAAGAAGGCGAGGTTGGAGAAAGACAGGGAGCCACAGGGAAGACAAACACTTCATCGGGGTTCCGACCTAAGCTGCTTGCCCTAAAAGATGACCCAAAAACAAAAGGTTAAGACAATTTTTTAAAAAAAATTATATGGGGTGGGTCAAGTCAGCGTGTTAAAGGCCGACACACAAGTGGCGGTATTCTGACCTACCTGTTTTCGGCCGAGCGGGGGGAAGGATGAACCAGGTCGGGCATGGCCGTTGGGGAGGTGCCGACCGTCATTGTAACAATCAATTCCGGGTCGAGGATAAAGAGTTCCTCGTGGGAGATTTCGGACACGTAGTTGAGATGTTCCTGATGAAGCAATTGGCATTTCAAGGCAAGGAACCGAGGAGTCACGTGGCAATGCATCACCAAAGCCTCCAAAGAGGAGATCAACCCACCTGTGCTCGGTCTATCCTGTAAAAACGATCAGCTGTTGTCGCTGCGGAGAGAAAGTAGAACTTGTTGTAAAAGACGAGAAATGTAAAAAGTGTTGTCTTTCGATAACTCAAAGGTTGCGCCACTCCGCGAGTGCCGCAATTAAAGACGAGGTGCTACTACGGAGCTCATTTGCATTCTATAAGATCATACAGTAATCTTCGCCGGCGAGAACGTGCCGACACGAAATGCCACATCCGTCTCATTCTCTTTGCTCATTTATGGAGAGAAATAATCTTTTCTTGGTTTACAGTATCCCCCTTCCCCTCCCCCATCCGAGTTTCATGGAAATCAGGTGCCTTAGAACCTAAAATACCCTCCGAGCTGGAAAAGTAGCAAACTTTTATCATGTAAACGAGTGAGGCGGGTTTTATTGCGCAAGGTTTCCTTCCACTGTATTTATTATTCCCCCACTGGATAACAATGACACCGAATCTCATTTCCTTTGTTGTGCTCACATCCTGACTGCATCTTTTTGGGGGTTCAAAATTCCACAAGGATTCTTTTGAGCTCGTTAGGAATTCCTCATATGTTTGATGGCGAGATGTTTTTGTTCTTCTTCAAAGCCCCTCGCAAAATTCAATTCATGTTCATCATATTCACTGGTGAATATGAGTTGGGTTTGAATTATTTGGGGGTTTGAAGTGACAGCAAATGTTTGGTTTTTATCGGATAGGTTTTAACCGCCAGCTAATTTTCTATACAGCACCTGTCCTCATTAGGGTCGCGGGGACATTCACGTCGTCCCTTTTGGAGTCTTTTGAATTTTGGGATGTGGAAGGAAAGTGTCGAACACCCGCGGAGAAAATATGTCAAGCACGGGTTCAGCGTGATGCCAGGTTTTCAACCATCTATCCAATTACACGGCCAGATTCCCTTCATTTGGGCGACGGGTGAGCTGGAGCCCATCCCAGCTGACTTTGAGCGAGAGGCGGGGTCCACTACAGACCAATCGCAGGGCACACCTAAGACAAAATGACCATTCACACTCACGTTCCCACCTCGGGGCAATTTAGATTCTTCAATGAACCCAACATGCATGTTCCCTGAATGCGTGTGTGTGTGTGTGTGTGTGTGTGTGTGTGTGTGTGTGTGTGTGTGTGTGTGTTTGTGTGTGCCAGTAGAAAGCTCACACAGGCAAATTGCGCTGTGCCGCCGGTTTTAAACAAGCAGCGCCTAACTCTAATGATGACTACTTTGACCGGAGTCCAATCAATATGTTTGACAATGTTATGCATGCCAGGCAGCGTTTATTAGTATCAGGAGGCAGGAGTTCTTCCCAGACGCCCCGTGTCGGCAGCCAAAGCAAAAGCTGTTAACAAGTGAAAATAATGAACTGTGTGGGCTGTCTCTCGGGCAGCCATCTGAGCCGCTGAAAGCATGAAACTTGGAGTCATTTAAGCAAAGTTTAGCTGCAAAGTTCTATCAGCCTCCAGGCGAGGTAAGAAAAAAAAAAAAGAAGATCTACAAATTCAAAAGCGGTGTTTAAAATCGGTGTTGTTTTTCATCATTTCAGGGTGGGATTGGACTCTAGTGAAAGCCATTTTGCGTGAGGCTGCACGAGGACGTGCCAATCTTCGCGCTTGTCCTTTTCATTCATAAAACTGCAATTCCTACTCTTAATGACCGACAACTCATACCCCGAATGGAAGAGATTGACGAGTGATGATCACTTACAATCAAGGAAACACCACTTTGGCGACAATCGCTGCAACGAAACATTCTTCGTCTTGACAGCTTCCTCCTAAACACAAATCAGACTGTTTGAAAATGTTCAACTAAGAGAATCTGAGGCTGAAGAATGAGAATTGGAAAACACACGGAACATGCAGCCACGTCCTTAAACATTGAACAACAGAAATCACAAAGACTCAGAAAGATAAAGCCGCACGATCTGCAATACACTCAGCCGTATTTATTTAAGTCCTCACTACTCTGTTCTGTCTAAATAAAAACATCTCTCTCCCATTTCCTCTGATACCCATTCGATCGCAGGCTACAAGTTACAAACCTTGTGTGATTTATTCAGAGACGGCTACGGTAACATGAGCTCCTGACTGCAAACTACAACGTCTCCTCTGATCTCGAGGCAACATATCAAAAGGCGAGCTACAGAAAAACAACGCATTCTAAAATTCCTCTGTGTTTTGTCTTTTTTGTTTGTTTTGACCAATGACTTGATCAAACATACATCAGGATTTCTACAAAGGTGCCCCCCCCACACACACACCTAACATAAACAAATATGGATAAAAAATGTCTCCCCTTCAATAAATAAATAAACGTATATGACCAAAACAATCTAAAATACTGGATTTAAATTAGTGGCCTACTCTTGATGGCACCCAGTACACCTTCATCATCCTCACAAGGGTCTCGGTGGGTGCTGGAGCCTATCCAGTAAGCGGGGGACACCTTGAACCGGTTGCCAGCCAATCGCATGGTACACACAAGACGAACAACCATCGGCGCTCACACTCGCACCTCGGGACAATTTAGAGTGGTCATGAACCTGCCGTGCATGTTTTGGGAATGTGGGAGGAAACCGGAGTAATCGGAGAAAACCCACGCATGCACGGGGAGAACATGCAAACTCCACACAGGAGGCCAGAGCCGGAATCGAACCCTGCACCTCTGCACTGTGAGGTCGACGCGCTAACCACTCGACCACCGGGCCGCCCACCTTCATCAAAATCCTTGAAATTGTAAACAAAAAAAGAATATCGAAAGAAAAATTTTAAAACACTCAAGGGCACCTTATTGAAATAATAAAATGTGAGATGTGGAGCTGTGCATCATCTTCAGTGGCAGAAAATGCTCCAATCAATCCAAGAATCGGATCAATAAACAGTCATCTAGAGTGCCCACTTCAATACACATTTGAGTCCTGTTGAGTGTTTAACTCTCAATAATAAAAATGGACTCTTCCTCTGATGTAATGTCAATTCATTTGAGCCGAAAAAGGTCGAGCACATTGCCGCTGTCAAGCAATAATAACAACAAGACCTTCAACGCTGGTTCCCGTGCGTTTTCTATGGCACTTTGGCCACTTTCTTCCAGCAATGAGCAACTTCTGCTAGATTCAACCAATATTTTAAGGGAAGCTATTTCGACATTGAAGCTACCTGCAATTTAGCCAACTGCTGTTTGACTGCCATTTATTGTTGTTCCAATTATTCGGGAGGAAAGTTTGGAACCTTGGAAATTCCCAACATGTTACAACCCTAATTGAAAGCCACAGATTAAAAACAACACGATGACACCAAGCACTTCATGACAAAGCTCGATCAAATCCAACACTGCCATTCTTTAACACTGCTGCTCGCACGTCATTGTGCTGCTAACAAAGCGACTGCACGCCGCACATCCCATCAGTAAACAGAAGCGATGAGCATCATCGGTCTCCAGAGAGCAAGAGATCAAACAGTGCTGCATCCTTCTGGTTGCTATGCAACACAGCGACACAAAGGCTCAACAACTCCATCCATCCATTTTTCGGAACCCTCAAGATTTATTCACATGGCATCAAACCTAAAAATACAAAATGGAATCATACTGAAAACGAAATGCCCACAATTAGACGCTAAGCCTTGACGATGTACAAAAGCACCCCACGGAACTAGTCCGGTGTCTTTCTTTGGTCGTTGGTTATGGCCGAGCGGCAGAGAAACGGCAACGGACGGGAGGCACCGCTTGATTTCTGTACACAATGGAAGCGGCGCTGGGCCAGCATGCCGTCAAAAGCACAGCGACCGCCTTCCCTACTTCACACAAGTCGCGGTGACAGAGCATGACAGCACTGCAAAAATCCCAGAGGCAAGATCTCCCCCCCGCCCCGCCCGGGCCGCCAAGATGAAAGACAGACAAAAAAATTAATAAATAATAATAAAAAGGGGATAAGGCAGGCATCAGCGAAAGGGACACAAATGAAGGAAGATCGAGGAGATGAGAGCTTTCCGCATAGCTATCGCCTCCAAGCGTCGATTGAATTCTATAGGAGAGGCTTGTTTGCATACTGTATGTCTCTGCGTATCGTGGCGCTCACCTCCGAAAATACTGGAAGGGTGAGGGCAATTTATTTGCTTGCTGTGGATTGAATTTGTTTTGGTTGGATCTCAAAAGATGATTCGGAGACAAAAGATCAAAAGCTGTGCTTTCCCGGATGTTTTTGCATCTGCATCGGATACACAGTTTAGAAGACAAACATGACTTGATCTGTGACAAAACCACATTTTTAGGAGAGCAAAAGGAATGCAACGGATAGACCTACATGAATCTCGCCTTTCGCGGCATCAAGTCTGTGATGTATTGACAATAGCAAACGTGTGCATTCGTCCTTTGAAATGCTCTCCAGGCGATCGCCATTTCCGTCTATTGTTTGTTTTGGGGCTCACGTCAGTCTCTTATGTAGCAGGTAAAATGCATTCTGGTAAAGGTTTAGGACTCTCTGAAAATGGCCTTTGTTGCATTTGACAGAGTGTTTCGCTACATGATAAAGGATCGATATTGGGCAGACTTAAAATGTTTTGCTGCTGCCATCTTGGGTTGCATTCATGTTCCTCGAGGAAGGCGCGCACACGCTAGTAATGAAGCTAACTTCCACTGAGTTTTCGCAGCTGAGTTTCACAGAAAAAAAAAAAAAATCCAAATATAAGGTCAATAAAGTTTACATAGATGGGGACAACTTTGTACAGCTCCACCGGAGCCAAACAACTTTGAGAATGCGCTAATTTGTCACATTCCCGCCAGGTGAAAGTGGACAAACAAGTAGGACAAAATAATCATTGCGCTCGGTGGGCAGCGGGACTTGTACAACACAGCCAGCCTCCAAAACGAGCAAATAAATAAATAAATAAATAAATAAAGGGGGGCAGACATAGATGACTTAAGTGTCTGGATTTGTTTACAGCTGTTGAACCAAGTTAGCAAAAATTGAAACAAAAGCCACGGGCACCTGAATGACTGGAGAAGTTCATGCACTTTTTTTCATTACGGTCAGATCAGGAGATGTAAACAATTCAAATATTTCATTTTATATTGAATGTTTATCAGGGTTTTTTTAAGCTTTGCTGGTATTTTAATTATTTTTCCCAATGCATTTTTGTAATGGCAGGGGTCGACTGAATAGTAAATTATACAAGGGGTTTAAATAGTTACATTCTTCCATCCTCTGATCGGATCGGTGATCTTTTTTTTTTTTCCTCAAGCTCACCGATTGGTGAGCATCCCCAAAATCCTGCGTAACACTGAAGGAAATGAACTGAGGACTAAGAGTGGTCAATCTATCAGAACATACTACAGCAATCCTGATGCAATGCAAATGTTGCCCTCTCGGAGCTGTGAGCAGTACGCGATAACTTCGGAGCCATCTAATCAACCAATTTAAATAGTTGCCACACATTCTTGTAAGGTCATTACTATCCTGCCTGGAAAGTAATATCATACTCATCCTAACAAGCAGAACATTCTTGTTCTTTGATGGAGTTCCAATGCCTTGAGCAAGGGCCCTCTTACTCAATACCGGTAACAAGAATACAAGAGAGACATACAGTGGGTAAAGTTAAGAGGCTCGATCGATGATTGTACAATATTTTGAAAAATAAAAAATAAAAAAATAGAGATGCTAAAATGTGTCTTCCTAATAATTCATATGGTCATGGATTATACCAGCATTTTTCCTTTGTACCAGCTAACAGAGTCCTAGTTGACTCTCTCTCTCTCTCTTTCTCTCTCTCTCTCTCTCTCTCTCTCTCTTTTTTTTAATTTATTTTTGTGACCTGAACAAGTCCCCAGAACTATTAAAAACGTGTATTACTTCCGACATAAGTTACAGCACATTCCTTTATTAGAACCATAACTTGGACAAAATGTTCGGGCCAGATTTCTTTGTGAAAAGGTGCACTTTTCATGTTGTGCAATGCAACCCCTTGAGTGAAGAACCTTTTCAGGTTTTTGCATGTGGGTGTTTGTTGTGCGCACAGGCGTTTGATGTGTGCTTTTTAAAGAATATCAAGCAGGATATGGGAAAGGAAGCAAAATGTTGATCTCTCTTGGTGAAACCCTTCAGCAGTCAATCAATCACTTGTTATCTGGCCATCACAACCGTGACCATGTGTAACCTTTTGGCGAGAATTTTAGCTCTGGGGTGAAAGGTTTTCCTTATTACAATAAAAGGTTTCAGCGCCTGAAGCAGAAAACGAAGAAACCGTAATCAGGCAGAAATCAAAACAAGCTCAAAAAGTGTTGGAACTATTGGCGAACTTTCTTCTTGCACATCTTTCTTAATTGGTGCGCTACTGGTGAGTTAACCTCTAAAAGTCACATCTCAAAGCTGTTCGTGAAAATCGCTGAAATTACAGTCGAGAGAACATGCGGCAAGTGACGCTTAATTAGTAGGCTCGATCCATAGCTGCTGTTTCATTTCAGGATGGGAATTCTTTTTTTTCTGAAAATGGAGTAGACATGTTGTTCCTTTTGCTGAGACAGAAGCCCAGGAACAAAATTAATTAACTCACCCTGCACATATGCACTCTCGGGGTTGAGAGTAGCATAGGGGATGATCAAACTGGTTGGTTGGTTGAACTGCAATTTTTGTTGAGGGAAAAAAAAAAAAAAGTGATGACCCTGGAATTCGAAACTGAAATTATTGCAATGTAGCAGTTGCGTCATTTACTCAATACAATATGGCTTGTATTTTTTTTAAGTCACTGCCAATTCAGCTTGTTTATCTGAAGAGATGAAATTAACAGATGCAGACAGAAATAATTTCTGCACTCCCATCACAGCCGCCAACAGATCAGTAATTCATTTTTGTTTTGTATTTTTCTTCGCGAAGGGTCCATTATAATGGCAAAATTGCCCTTTTTTGGTTAGCCCGCCCATAAAACATGAAATCAAACAAGTAACACTTTTGTTGTGACTTGCTTAGTCCCGAAACTGCAAGCGAGACTGTGTTTTCATCGTTCTGTTACAAAAGAGAGGGGCTAATTTAGATTATAACTGCCACTACGACGTGTTTCTCAGCCAATGACTTGGCAGCCAGGCTGGCCTTAGATTGTATTTGGCTACGCAGTAGGGGAGACGGCCAACCCAACCCAGTCTTCAAACAGAAGGACGGTAGAAGCACCATTGCTCTTCAACCTTTGCATCTTCTGTGAGAAAAAAAAAAAACAAAAACAAAAAAAAACAACTGCCAGCACCAGAGAAAACATTACCGCTGCTTAATAGATGCCATAAAGGTACAGTACTGTATTTGACTGTGTTATAACGACGCCCTTCAGGACCACAATGATGAAAACGGAGAAGGAAGAAAAGGGAAAGATGGTGATCGATACCATAGTAACAACTCAAAGCCTCAAAGAGTAATAAGTAGTGCATGACATGCTGAATGTACCACTACAGGGTGGTACCGCAACCCAGCAGCAGCCTGAGAGGGGTGCCTCACTTCCATAATACTCAACATCACCCTCGAAGAATTGAACGGCCACATTTCTAATTTGTCGACAACATCTAATCGGTCCAGCTGGCTAAGCGTCTCGACAAAAACCTCCGCAAAGTACGCAACGAAAATCAAACAAAAACAATCAAAATCAGGAAAAATGAAAATACCAGTTCGACAGACATCTCAATGACTACACACAACAACTCCCCACGACCAACCTGAAGTCCCACACATCTCAAAGAAGAGTGGACAAAGGAGATGTCCTGGAGAGATAGGAAGAGTCAAAGGACAGCATAGAAAATAGCCCAGACATTCAAGGAAAAAAAAAAGTCTTTCTTCATCATGTCACTGCAAGGAATGCTATCCCGAACTCAAATCCACTCTTCCCACATAGGTCTTACCTCTTGTAAACGCTGAATGTGTTCTCTACATGTCTCCAAGTCGCTGTCTCCAGGAACTACTATAAGTCCCAATGGAATAGCTGCGGACACACAGACACCAAACAATTACTCACCAACGGTTGCAAGTTAGCTGCCGTGAATTAAAAAAAAAAAAAAAGTCTACACACCCTTGTTCAAATCCCAGGATCTTGTGATATAAATAATACAAAAACTTTCCAACCAATCACGTGATCAATAATACGCACACCCTGTTATAACTGGTGTGTGGCTGTGTTCAGAATTAACCAATCGCATTAAAACTTGCGTTAACTGGGGGGTCAGCACAGACCTGCCACGATTTAAAGTGCCTCAGGTTAACCACAAATAAAGTTCGGATGTTCTCGTTGGCTTTTGCTGACATTTTTGTCGACACATTTGACAGAGGGATCTCACTTTTGAACAGGTCTCAGTCTGGAGAAGGGTACAAAAGAATCTGTAAAGCGCAATGGAGAGTCGAATGGAGAAAATATGGCACAATTGTGACACTGAAAAGAACCGGAAGCCCCTCCACGACGGAGAAGAAAACTGCCGAAAAGCAACATTGAAGGAGCTGCAGGAATCTCTGGTAAATATTGGCTGTTTAGTAGATGTGACAACAATCCCCAATCTTCTTCATGCATCTGGGCTTTGGTGTAGTGTGGCAAGACGAAAGATATTTTCAGTATAGGCATTCAGGACAAATTAATACAAAAAATAAATCCTGAATAATGCACTGGAACCAAAAACATAGAATTTAGATATCCTGTAATCTCTCATGAGCTTCTTGACTGCAGTATCACCTTCATATGGTTCTTCAATTTATACGCACATTCTGCTACACATGCAAATTGTATGCAAATCACAGAGACAAAGCGGTCAACATGTTTGCGGTGTTGCTACACCACCACCTTGTGTGAGAACTCAGAACCGCATGTAGAGCGAAATGGGGAATCATGACAAAATAGGACTCGACTTCAAGCTTTCGATGTATTTGAAGCGTCACCAATGCAAGCAGAGCCTGCACTGCTCATCTTTCATTATAGCACACTTGATGGGGGCAAGACCGGCTTGGATGGAGACGCAAATGAAAATTTCAAGTCATAGCTCCGTTTCTCAGTAATCACCAGGCGGTTTTAGTACCAATTCAAACCTGAAGATGAAATACTACGATAATCACTATTTACCCTGCTGCGCCATCCCGGGAGGGTCAACACAGCAACAACATGCTATTCTTGTTTCATTAGTCAGCCACAGTGCTTAAGAAATGCAGTAGATCAAACTCCACTAAAACAAAATGAGACGCCTAACGCTAGTTTCCGCCATGTTGTTGAACAGTCATCTCCATTGGGGGCCATAAAGGCAGACTCAACAACAACAACAACAAAAAATATTAATCATCAGAGTGCGCAAGAAGTTTCATGTTGAAAATCAGCTGCATCTGCCTGTGCCTCTGCACAACAAATCTCTCATCTCGGTCACGTGAAAAAAACATAAGCACATAAGCAAGAAAAAAAATGCATAAGAAGGCAAAAAGGAAAAGGCCAACTGAGGCTAAAAGGTTCAAGAAAAAAAATGCATTTAACACTCTCATCAGTCCTACTTAAGTGTTCCGATTCCAATAGCGATCATCCAAGAGTGTGATCAACTAATACCAATCAGGTGGATTTGGTGTAAAATCCTCGGTTTTAGAGAGCTACAACTACATATTTATTTATAAAGAATCCATTAATTTGTTCATTTTCTTCATCAAATAATCAGATGGAAAAAAATTAATTTGTCTTTATGTCTTTCTTATTCAAAGACAAGACAATGCTTCAAATTGGCATTTCAGAAAAATGCACAGAAAAAAACTTATGATTCTGTTACCGGTTTGTTCTGGGGAAATGTTGATCATTATCTTCCCACGTAAAAGCAACTATTTGTAAATGTCATATACGGATTAAACACAAAGATAACCACTGTCAAGTTTTTGTGGAGCCTTCCATTCCAATTAGAGTGAAACCAAATTACTGAATGGAATGAAAATACTTCATATGCTATCACACATCACAGGGCAAAGAATTGTCAACACATCCCCAGTTTTAATAGAGAGTGAACATTGGTGCAATCACAAATTAATAGTGGAAGTAGTTTTGAAATGAAAAAACACAACCCCCCACCCCCCCCCCGACATTTGAACTGGGGTGTGTACACTTTTTAAATGCCCACATACACGTTAAGAGCATGCAGTGGCCACATGACTGGATAGTGCGTATTTGTGTGTGTTTCCTTACACGCTTGTCTCAATTTGTCCTTGTCATAGTGCAGAGCGTCATAGTCACTCATGCTGATTCTGCTGACACGAAGCCTCAGCCTTTCTGGGATCCGCTGTTGGCTGAGATACAAAGAGGACCACGTCCATTTCAATGAAAAAATATCATTTTCACGATTGTTTCGGAAATAGTTAAAAAAAAAAAAAGTAGGCCTTCCCATTTCAAATACGCATGACTCACTCATTGAGGTGTGGCAATGATGCCCGCCGTTTGGTTTTCTGGACCATGTTGGCCTGGTTTCTGAGGCTGATGTTGATGATGGAGGGGGCGAGTCGACATGGTTCGCCATCCACCTGAATATGAACAATTCAAATTAAATTAGAAAGCGTATTAAAAAGCATGTGGCTGTTCAGAAGTTTAGGGGCACTTGGAAATGTCCTTATTTGTGAGAGTCAAGCTGAATTTTTTTTCAATGAAAAACAACCACCGCTGTATACAAAGCGCTGCAAATCTCATATATACAACAATAAACAAATTAATAACAAAGACAGTTGAAAGCACAAAAAACGGTAAACCTGAAATTCACGTCTCATGAGTCAAAAGCCAAAGAATAAGTTAGTTTTCAAACGAGTTTTAAAGAATTTGTTTCATATGACAACCCTAGGTAGGCTGTGTACATATTTGGAGGGTACCTGTACAGGAAGCGCCTTTGTGGTGGTGAGGGTTACTTCACGACATTGATTCAACCTCTCGCCATGACCTCCGACCTGAAGCGTAGCCTGCATATAAAAGGCACATAAGGTCATAGTTACAAAGTTCCTGTTAATTGGCGTTTAAATAACGAGGGGACCCAAGGAAGCGCAAATAGATAACTTATTTTTCCCCCCAAAACATATTGACACCATTATTTCCCTACCAATGATGTCATGGTGAACCCAATGACCTCAATGTACCCATCGTCATGGCGCTGAGGTTCAAAGTCATGATGTTCACCTGGGTTTCCCCAAGGTGTGGTACCAGCACAGTACCTGAAAAATAGACGACACAAAAGCGCACACATACAAACACAGAGCCTCAATAGTCGTATCATTTGAGTTGCTTTTTTTTCCCCCGATACAAATATCTACTGTAGGTCTCTGAAGCGCCCTTAAAAAAGTGCAAAATGACACAACTAAATACGTCATTATGTGCAGCCATTCTCCAAAAATGCGTCTGTCAGTAAGCCGTTCACACTGTGGCCTGATTATGATGCCAGAATTGGTCGAACTGACATGATGCTGCCCCAAAGATGGACGACCGAAGTTAATAAATTCAAATTCTAATGACTTCAAAATTGCAGAGGGGTTCAGAATACTTTCTGAAAGCATTTCTACCGAGTGGAATTTTCACTCGTTGGTTGTTCTTGAATACGACAAAGCTAATTCATGGGCAAGAAGTTGCTGACCCAGACGTAATTAAGTTCTGTCAAGAGTGGTAGCTGTTGTGACAAACCTTGGGATGTTGAGAAAGACCAGACATTGGAGCTTCAAATCCTGAACCTTGGATGTTAAATCAGTCCCATCGCACTGCAGACAAGCACACAGAAACAAACACACACACACACAAATGAGCGGCAGTGCTTTTATACAAGAGGCAACAGCTTGATTGGCAGCTACTCACCACAACTCGGATGTGTTTCGACAGGTCTTTGGAACTTCCCATCAGGAAATCTGAGAATGCCGTCTGTATGGCGGTCACAAACATGCATCTATAAGTGTTCGTTTGGCACTGCTTAACAGGCCACACACATAATACAAAATTTGGCATTTAACAGTTTGGGTCATATTGCATGTGATCTGCCCCGATTATCTCAACACAGACGACACACATTAAGATTCTGTCCCGCTATCAATCTCATCTAGTGCTCTGAGGCAAGAAGAGGAGGCACTTCTGGGTATGCGCCGATGTTACCAGAGTGTTTCTGAAGAGGAAGCGTTGTCACATGGAAACCCCGGCTAGAAAATATTTGCTCTGGAAAACACTTGTTGACGCCTGGGGAATCCACTATCGTACAAAAACCAGCATTGGGTTTTTGTTTTATTTAATGCCACTTCCTTCTTCGTCAGCATTGTTGCTTGTATGATTGTCGACATTCCGTTATCGTTACAGTTCACACAGTCAAACGATATGAGAGTTTTCCCCGCACAAGTTTGTAGGCCCAACCCATTTCTATTCTATGGGACATATCCACTTTTAACACACAATATCATTTTATAAGCTTACAGGACAACCTAATGAGACATAAAATGGAGGACAAACAATCGGGTCTGACTGTTTATGTGTGAAATCGATCTTAGAGATATATATATATATATAT